ATGTGGAATTTCTGCAAGCAAAAGTAACTTCTATAAATATCAACATGACACTTTTGCAATGCTAGACACGTACACAGTTAAGGAAACAGAGCTTTTTATAAATCTTTATAGACCACTGTATTTTGTTCCATTTTTTTTCAGTTTTTTAAAAAAAAAATGTCCACCATAAAAAAACAAGGCGAAATAGCTGGTTACAGCTTTTTCGACAAAACAAAGGCCCTTTCAGCTTAATTTCTACTGATGCTGGCAACCCCAACACGGGGTGTTTACTGAGATGACACCATCGTAAAGCGCCGTCTCAGAGCCAAGCAAAGAGCGACACCAGCGTGCCAGGGAGAGTGAACCTCGCCCTACGCTCTGACTTATGAACCATAACTCACTCAAGACAGGCAGTCAGGCCCCCGGGCTGGCTACCACCGCGTGACAACGCAGAAGCACACCTGCCGTGATTCCACAGGTGCCCCCTCCAGGCTCACACACAGACCTCAAGCCAACACAGTGCAGGGGCCAGGAGACCGCAAATAAGGCAAAACACGACACTTGATCAACCCTTAAAAAGTACGTTCAAGCAAACAAACAAAAAACCAGATTAATCCACCCGAGTGTGACAGTCTTCAGACTTCAGCAAGTGTGAGGAAGCAGGAAAGAGGTTACAGGTTAAGATCCCACAATAAGTAGCCAATGCTGACAGAGGCTGCCAGCCCTGCCTCACTGCACAGACTCCCGCTTTGGGCAGGGGCGTCTGACTTGCTGACGGGGCAGGCCCTGAGCTGCCCGGACAGCCTCCTGCCCCTGGGCACACGCTCCCAGAGCGCGACCGCCGTCCTCCCCACTCCGGGACACGCCACGGGAAGGAGACGCGGGGTCCCCACTCAGCACGCACCTGCGCTCGCTCCCTGGCATTCTGGGTTTCAGCTACGACACCAACAGCCATCCGAGGAAAACGACGGAAGGCAGGCAAACCGCACATGCCTGCAAGCGCTTCCTTGGCAACCTTAACGTCTTAGGCAACTTCAGCAGCCTGAACTGCTTTAAATGTCACCCTCAGGACGTGTCTGCACTTCCGCGTCCCCCAAACTGCCCACCCACCCCAGAGGACCAGTCCCCGACCAGAAAGGGGGAGGAGAGAAAAAGCAAGAGGTCCCGCAGTTCGACCCTAGCTTTCTACTTGTTGCTTACCACTCCCCACCCCGGCTGTTTCAACCATCCCCGAAGAATCTTCAGACACAAATGAAATCCCTGCACTTCACTGACGCGGAATTTCCACGTAACGTGTCATTCCGAGGAGCACAGGCGCTGAAGCGCACGCCCGGACACGTGCCTCACGGTCTGAGAAAGGTACACGCCGACACAGCCCACCTCCAGAAAGCCAAGGAAAAGCTCAAGGATGCGGGGGGGGGGGTCCCTTGCGTTTTTCTGGATCTGTGGTCACCGTGTATCCTAATCTCCCTTCTTTCCATCACTGTGACTTTCATCAGAGACTGCTGGCTTCATTCCAGGACTGGAGATGCTTTAACGCAAATGGAGACACCAGAGATGTTAATGCTTCAGTATCTGAGTGCTCTGAGAAACCACGAGCGCCCGGAGTCGGAGGGGCAACACACAGATAGGATAATGAAGTCATCCACATTTGCTGAGCCTTCACTGAGCTTCTCCGCTCTGACCGGACCACGCGTGTTCGGCCTCACACTTACAACACCCTCTGCACAGGTGCCTCCCAAGGAGGGAGCTGAAAGCAGGGAAGAGATGCGACCTCCCCGAGGCCCAGCGGCTACAGGGCTCAGGCCGGGTCTGTCTGACCCAGAGGCCCTCCCACCACGACCACACGACCCGGCCACGCTCAGGGGTACGCTACACTGGAACCTCAGCTCAATTTACAAACAGCTCAGCAGCGCCTGCTCACCAAAGGAACTTCTAAGTTTGAAACGAAAATC